ATTTGGGGATACTATGGTGCCCATTGGGTTTAGGGTTTAGGGTTTAGGGGTTTAGGGTTATTTGGGGATACTATGGTACCCAATATAGAGTAAGGTCATGTCCTCCTGTTGGGGTATAGTATTTCATATAAGGAAAATCATCGTACTAGGTTCAACCACCAAAAAACACGACCCATGTAGGGTTCAGAATTCCAATTTGGGATTTGGAACTTCAGACTTAAGGTTGTGGGTTCAGAGCTTTGGGTTTGGGTTGGGGATTATGGTATTGTAGTAAACTAAAGTCATGCATGGGTTTTGGTATCAACAGTAGGACCTAAACCCTAAACCGGGAAACCCTAAAGCGCAAGAGTAGGAACTAAGTTTTTGAAGAGGCTCCCGATCTGGGTCCGCAGATCTGTTGCAGCAAGAAATACCACCAGAGGTTTTAATAGCATTGAAAAACTGGTGAGAATATTCGTAATAACAGTAGTCCCAGTTGTTGCTACGCTTAGTAGGATCTAACGGACTACGCGTCCTCCGAGCAGGATGTTAAGCTGGGGCCCAAGGAAAAGATATGGTAGTTTTCCAAAACGAGAGGACCCCAATATAGACCCCCCAATCTTATACTTCTTATTATAGGAACCTCCAACAAAGGTACCCCTAATTGTGGAAACCCTAAACCCTAGATATCCCTATATACCCTTATATCACCCCAATATAGCAGAGTACCTCCAATTTTGGCAGACCCAGCAAATATCGACAAAAAGAGTAGAGAAGGCCACGCTGAGATTTGAAACGGAAACCTTAGACCAAAAATCCTAAAACCCCAAAGCCCCAAACCCTAAAACCTTAACCCTCAATCCTAAACTAAAACCTAAACCTTAAACCCCAAAGCCTAAACCCTGAACCCGAAAACCTAAACTCTTCACCCTAAACCTTAAGACCTAAACCTGGAACCCTAAAACCTAAACCCTAAAACCTAAAGCCTGAACCCTAAACCCTGAGCCCTTTCCTTGCTAAACCAACATCCCTCGCCCTCACTCTTCTTGAAGTCCTCATCAGATTTCCTGTGTCACGGGCATTTTTGTGCGACAAAGTGCTTGCTAGTGAGCTCGTTTAGCAGGGACTTGTTGCTGTGCAAAATATCACGACCTTACCTGACCTTACCAATCCAAAATCCTGAAAGGGGGTTACGTTGGAGATATATTGGGGAGTATTATAGGGGTTATCAAGGGGGATACTAGAAATTCAGACCATAGTCATGTACAACATGTTCTCCATATTTTCACTTCAGGCTTTGGGTTTGTCGCGATTTCACCAGTTCCTCCACCTTTGAGTAATATTTCCAGCAGCTGTGCTGACTGGTAAGAGTTGCCCACACAGTTTGGGGTTTCGGGCTCCAGGGTTCTAGGGCGTAGGGGTTTCGGATTTTAGGGGTCTAGGGTTTTAAGGATTTAGGATTTTTTGGGTTTGGGGCTTAGGGGTTTCGGATTTAGGGGTCTAGGGTCTAGTTTTGAGGTTTCCAGCGTAGGCAAGGCCTTTATCATGGAGGTGCCCTGATCAAGCCCAATCCCCCTGAAGACCAGCATCCTTGCAGGGATCATTTTAGGGAGGTTTCAGGGTGTAGGGTTTAGGGCAAATAGCCCCAATGTTCCCAAGCTACTCCTGAAACCACAGCTCCCTACGACCGTTCCTGGGAGAAGCTCCAGTTCCCACAGCATCGAAAAGGGGAACACAACGTGCCCGTATATCCCCTAACGTATCCCATGGCTAAGACCATCCTGCTTTGCAAAGCCTTACTAAAACCATAAACCCTACACCTGATTGAATCCTGCGCTCAAGGCCCCCAAAGCCCAAGTAGTAGCTTTTTCTATTCTGGGTAGCTTCACTCCCTTGAGAAACCTGCAAAACTCGGCTAAAACCTGGCCCTAAACCCCCATGCTTGACCTAACCCTTAATCCTCACCAAGCCTTAAACCTTAATCCTTAAATTCCAAACCCAACCCTACTAAACCCTAATCCCTAAACCCCAAACCCAAATCCTAAACCTTATTATACTAGTTTCCATTTCCTTTTCCATTACCCCAATATAAACCCAATATAACCTTAACATAATCCCAATACAACCCTGATATAACCCTAATCCCTAAACCCCAAACCCCAATCCCTAAACCCTATTATAGTAGTTTCCATTTGCTTTTCCATTACCCCAATATAATCCCAATATAACCCGAACGTAACCCCACGACAACCCTAATATAACCCTAAACCCCAAACCCCAATCCCTAAACCCTAAATCAGGGCCCGCTGGCAGCTTCATGGGAGTCGGCCTTGGCGCGCCAGCACATGGAAGCTTCTACGGGGCTCGGGCCAAAGGGGGCTTGGAGTTTTAGTAAGGGTTTAGGGTTTAGGGCTGTGGCGTTGAGAGTTTTGGGGGTTTGGGGGTTTGAAGTTCAGGGATTATGGCCTAGGGGTTAGGGACTCGTGTTTTTGCTTTGGAGACGGGTTTTGGCATGTTTTGGGATGAGTGTTTGGCAGTATGGTCATGCAGGAGTCATGTGTGCTATAGTCTAAACTCCTTAAAAGGGCGTATATATGGGGGATTATATAGGGGACTACTATAGGGCTTATTAAGGGGGATGCTAGGAGTTTAGACCATGGCTCATGTATGCATGACGAGAGTTGGTTTGGAATTCTAATGAATCTGCCGTAGGATTCCAGCATCTTGCATCGTTCTTTCAGGATTCGGGCAGTATGGCAGGGCAGCATTTTGGGATTCTTTCATATGTGAGTTAAGGTTGTGAGACTTCCTGAGATGTTAGCTGGCATGGCGTTGCGGCTTCTACTGCGGTAAGGATGTACTATAGGGATTGTGCAGTGCTCATTCACGGCTTTGTTGTTTGTCTAAGGCATGCGATTACATTCGGGTTTCTCAACGTGTCCTTCATACAATGCTGGCGGGATCCATCTACACAATTCCTACATGCTCCACGTACACCCCTAGAAGTCCGCAAGGAAAGCGATTTCAGAGTGTAGGGTTCCATCAGGGGTGATTATGTAGGTTGCAGAGTTCAGTCTTTTCCGGTCGAGGGCCAAGGGCTTGCTGCATTGGGATTGGTTTTGGGGATGTTTATGGGCCTGCAACATAGCTGCCGTGGATAAGGCTTCCTGCGCGCGAACTCGAGTTCAAAGCTTATGAAACCGCACATCCCGAACACCGGGGTGTGTGGGATTTAAAAGGAGACTATAACTATAGGGACCTGTTCCCTTGCCACAAGGGAAGGCCATGGGACGTGATCATACGTAGGGTTTAGGGTTTAGGGTGGCAAGAGGACCTTCTTCGAAGGCTTGTGCGAGGTCACCGCCTTCCACAGCATGCCACAGCGTGCAAACTATCTGTGGTAAAGCAGTTCGCAATGCCCAGGGCTGGATCCCAAGCAAATGCGACCTACCGCTGAAGGCCTTACTATCTCGTGCCTATTCCCGCAAACAATACAAACTGAAGGCCAAAAGAGGCCTACAAAGACTAGCATACTATGGAAATGTGCTTACATGGGTTCCCAATGTAGTTTTGGGGGAGGGTCCATCTACCGAAAGGAGGCAGCCTGTGGGGGAGTTCTGAAGAACGGGCGCCCTCCGGGGCCCTAGGGATGTACATTCATCCCTATACAGCATAATGCAGGGATGCAGGGATTATTTTGTGAAATTCACTTCCTAGACCCCTCATTGCTACTAGGAAGTCCTAAGCCTCAAATCAGGAACAAGTTTTCTGGCCGCACGCAAGCTCTCCCATTCTTTTATCCCAGAGGGGTCCAAATGGGTTTGTCCACGGTGTCAGGATGTCCCACTCAAGCATAGAGACCGATTATAGAGACGCCCTTCAGATCCTTGTGAAGCACGCGAAGGCGAGCATCTCAAAGTCACCCGTACAAACTCCTTCGGGAGCCCCCCCATAATCCCCCTAAGCCCTCAACCCGAAATAGCAAAACTCTAGCTCCCCAAACCTTAATCCCTAAACCCTAATGCTCAAGCCCTAAGCCCTGCACCGCAATCCCTGAACCCCAAACCCTCAACCCTAAAGCCTGAAGCCTAAACCCTGAACCCCAGACCCTACACCATAACCCCTCAATCCTAAAGGTTTTTTGGGGTTCCCAACCAACCAGGAACCCCCTGAAGCAGTGAGTGCTCGGAGCGTCAGGGGGGACTTAGTAAGGACCGGAAAAGAAAACGCAAACTACTATGGTCTTAAGGGTTTAGGGTTCCGTATTTTTAGGGTTTGGGGTTTGATATTTTCGGGTTTAGGGTTTAGTATTTTGGGTTTGGGGTTGAGGGACGGGGGACTTAGTACACATACGTATCACCCCTATAAGCCATGGAGTAACCCCCGTTATCCCATTGGTAGCCTCATTGCTATGTCCTGACGCTAAGCCCAAAATCCTGAACCCCAATTAATGTGGTAGTTGCCATGTTCTTTTCACTTATCACCCCAAACCCTAAGCCCTAGATCCTAAACCTTAACACCCTTAACCCTGCACCTCCCTGATCCCTGACCCTTCAAGTGGAGGCTGGCCTCCCGCCCAACGGGGGCAGCTTTCTGCTCTTCGGCCCGAAAGCACTTTGGGGGGTTCCCAAAATCAGGGTACCTTTAGAGGGGATTGTAAGGATTATATAGGGATATTTCAGGTTTAGGGCTTAGGGTTTCCCACAAGTAGGGTACCGGATTATAGTATTTTGCGGTCTATACTGGGGTCCCCCTATTTTGGGAAACTGCCATTTGGGACTCATGAAAGAGCCCAAATTACAAGAATCCTGAGTGTAGGGACCCCCAGAAAAAGGGATCCCCTATTTTTAGACATCCCGACTTTAGTCCTTTCAGTTGGGGACAGTGTAGCAGCCAATATACAATCTTTTATATATAGTAGTTTCCATTTTCTTTTTCCATTATACCTATATTACACCCAGTATATATAACCCCAATATACCCTTAGGATTATCTTATAGGGGTTATATTGGGATAATGGAAAAGAAAATGGAAACTACAATATTACAATAGGGTTTAGGGACCGAAATAATGACCTTCTTTTTGGTCTGGCGTTGATAAGACATTTCTTTTTTAAACAAAATTCGTGCAACTACAAGAAAACCAGTCACCTGGTCCGTCCCGAACTTTTGAAGGCTAGGAAGCATTCATATGGGGGCTGGAGGAAATCCTGCAAAACTGAGGGTCCCCAGGATCCGAAACCCTAAACCTAAATAGAAGTTTCCATTTCATTTTCCATTATCCCAATATTATCCTATATCATCCCTATATTATCCCAATATTAACCCTGTGTTCCGCAAGATGTCCTTTATCCACCGTAGCGGGGTCAAGGAAAAGTATAGAACCCTCATAGCCTCAACACTGACGACTTCTCTTGGGATGTCCTAAACCCTAAACCCTAAACCTAGTCGGGATGAAGGGATGGAGGGTACGGAAATCAAAGTTCAGGCCGCGCGGGGGGAATGGATTAGGATTTATCAAAGGCCTCAAAAGGTGGGATGAATAAAGGTAGGGTATAGGAAATAAGCCCCAATATAGTAGAGCATATACTAAGGATCTTTCAACCCACCTACCTTCATCCCACCTTTCGAGCCCCCTGAGTTTAGGGCTTGATTGTTTAAGGTTTGAGGGCTTGAGGGACCCTAAACCCTAAACCCTAAACCCTAAACCGCGTTAAGGAACCAGAGCTCCGGCTTCAGAAGTTGGGTTTCGGAGGTCATGCTGTCGGGCTGGGAGCTTTTCTGGTTTTGGGGCTTCGAGCTTAGGGGGTTCAGGGTTTAGGGCTTTGTAAGCCTAATTCCCGCACTCTAAATTCAAAAAAAGCCTTGGCGGATGTGAGTTTGGACTTGTACTTGGAGGATTTAGGGTTGAGGGTCTAGAGTTTAGCGTTTAGGGTTAAGTGTATGCTTTTTTGGGGCTGAATTTGTACAGTCTGGGTATCAAGATTTGAAATGATTAACTAGGGTAAGACATGTAATTCCGCCCAATTTGGGGAAGGCGTCTTCGGAAAGCTGCAACATGGCTCATGCGGGGGCCATGATCCCCTTGTAGTGCTGCAGGGAGCCCCTGCAATCTGCTTATAGGGCCACAAATCTCAGGGTCCTAGCACCGCGAGAAATCTGACTACAGCTTATGCTTTGTAGGTGTGCCGGGTGTTCATTGCGTTGGGCTTAGGGTCTATGAGGATAGGGCTGGAAAAGGCCTCACACCGCCCCAACCCAAACCCTAAACGCTAAACCCTAAGCCGCATAAGAAGGGCAGGTCTGTGAATGCATGGATGTACCAGAACACCTCATCTGAGCCATGAGCCTCAAATGCGGGTTGATCCTACTACTATTAGTCTGATTTCCAGTATTCTCATTACTATCATTCGTATTACTCTTATTCTTATCATTATCATTTTTTTTTCTCATTTTGCGCTGGTATTATCTTTTTATTATTTTCATTACAGTTAATGTTGTTACCAGTATTATGAAGCCCGAATGCCAAACCGTAAATTCCAGACCTTAAACGCAAGACCCACGTCTGAGGGGGATTGGCGGCAGCTTCCTGATGACCAACGGGGTCGTGCTCTCACCGTGGAGGGTTTAGGGTTGACTTTTGTGTTAGGTTGCTGTCCCAACAGTCCTAAAGGGCTCAGGGTTTGGGATTCAGGGTGGGTTTTGGGGGTTACTGGCTTAAGGAGATGGAGCTTACTGAGCGATAGTCGTAGGGTTTAGGTCTGGTCTGTTTTGGGTTTAATGGGACTTTCCAGAACATGGGGGTCCTTTGCTCAATACAGGCTCCCTTTTATGGAGTCCCCAGTATAGGGTTTGGGAGCAGCAGATCTAAGTCAGGTTCCTTTGCGGTTCTTCGTGTGTTTGAGAAGTTGTGGACAGGATGCCCGGCAACACAACTTCAGACTCAGCGAGAATTTCAAGATTGAAAGGTTCTGTATTGTTCTATTGGGGTTTTAAAAGGGTGTGCAAAGCTGTTCAATCCTCAAGCCGTGTTAGATAAAAGCGCGGGAAGACAACGTCCTTGGCGAGAATGCGCCTTCCTCTCAGAAGCTCGGAAGTAACCCTTCTGAAAGCCAAACAGGCGTTTCTTGAAATTAGCCATGTAGAATCCTTAATAACTAAACATTTGGGGAAAAATGTCTTTCGCCCTAAACAATTGGGGAAAAAGATTTTTCCCCAATTGTTTAGTGACCGCCACGATCTGTTGGTCATCCCTAGTTATTCCTAGGGAGCATGAGGCAGACGCATTTGAGAAACCTCCATACCAGGATTATGCATAGGATGGTCTTTATATTTTGGAAGCGTCTGTAATGTACGAGCCGGAGCTATAGTAATATTATCAAGGCATCGTTTTTTTATAGTTGTAGTACACCATTTCCCAAGCTCTCTGGGGCCTGGGGTAGGAGCTTTTCTTGTGCCTCAGAGAGGGATGCATCTCTGAGGGCAACTTCGCGGCGTGTGGTCGCACGCTACAGTTAATTTGACTGGATTTTGGATTTTCTGAAATTTAGGGTTTATAGTCCCCCTGAAGTAGATAGAATATGGTTTTGGGGTATATTATACTAAGATCCCCATATACCCCATATTCTATCTACTTAAGGGGGACTATAGGGTTTGGGGTCTGAGTTCCCGATGAAAGGTCGACTGAGAGGCTGCCCGACACTGCACCGAGCAAGCGGCCGTGGGTCGCGAGCGACCCACGCCTTCACCAGCCACACGTCTTCTGCTTCTCTTTCAAGTTGTCTGATCGAATGGTGTCTAGGAATTTATACATGTACATGCAGATGCACAAAGGCCATCACGTAAACCCACCTTGAAGGCGGGGATTGGGGTATCAAGAATAGCATGTGCAGTTGGAGCTGGATGGTAGAGCTACGCTAGCGCGGTCATGTGCGTGCCCCCCCCACATCTAAAGAAAAGGTGCGCAGATAGCGCACACTCCGTTGCACCCTAAACCCTGGTCTAATGATTTTGAACCCCTACGGATCCCTACAGTATCCATGGCCCAGATGCAGACCTCCATGGGTTCGTTGCCCCGAACAGGCAGCAATGCAGTGGGCCCAGGGGTTGAGAGCTGAAGGTTCTGGGTTAGGTGGTTCAGAATTGAGCTTACGGGTTTGGGGTTTGAGGGTTTTGAGGTTCAGGACTTTGGTTTTGGGGTTCTGGGGGTGGAGGTCTAGGATCCCGGGTTTAAGGGTTCCGGCTTGAACACGTTTAGGTGTTTAAGGGTTTAGGGCTTAGGGTTTGAAGTGCGAGGTGAGACTATACAAGGGAAGTGCCACTTGGAGGTTCATGGGTAGTTGTGTGAACATCTGAGGCGAGATATTTTGATTTTGGACCCTAAGATTCTGAAAGGGAAAACCTTGAACCACATGGACACCTGACTGCATGAGAGGAGCTGATATAGGGACTGGTCTTATTCTGTGGAGTGCGAATAAAGGCTGTTGCTATACATGAAGTTTAATCAGAAGCAGGGCTAGATGTATATCGAGCTTAAGTACAATTACTCTACGCCTCACCCCCCGGCCTTCCCTCAGGATAGATAGGACCCCTTCTACGGTGGATACATGACCCCAAGTATCCGAAACTTTGAAAATGATGGCACTATGGTATACTAAGGTCATGCAGGTATTTTAGTATCAACGGTATGGAGGGGTTACTCTGATGTCTTCGGCAAGGCACTCTAGTATGTGCGCCAACAGACCTTAAAATGAAATTGCGAGTCATTCAGGATAATCCCCAACCATCCCTACATAAACCCGGCCTCCCTTTAATTTTCCAATTCCGTGTCATTTGATTCTCCGTGCTCGGCGAACCTCAACCCCAAATCGCCTTGTATTACCCTGAGACCAATCCCAGGCATTAAAGCTTCGTAGGAATATGCAAGGGGGCCTGCTAGCTTTAATGTAGACCGAGGTTGTTTTAAGGGCTTAGCCTTCAGTGTTTACAAGGTGAGAGCTTGGAGTGGAAAAGGGCTGCCGGGGACCTGTGGTGGCCCCTATTTGAGCTATAGTCTAGATGCCTTTTAGGGGGGTTATATAAGGGATTATACAGGGGACTAGTATAAGGGCCTTCAAGGGGAATGCTAGGAGTTTAGGCTAGGGCTCATTTGGAGAAGTGTATTGACTTTCAGGATCATGCCTAGCATCAGCCTAAAACGCCCCAAAAACCCGATCCAACCTAAAGCCACAGACCATTAAAGTCTAAACCCCTACACGACGAGCCCAGTTTTATTTAACAGTCCCTGAAGTCCGCTACTATGGCTACTTGAGTCATAGCTGCAGTTATCATGGGTTAAACTAGTACCCCCCTCTATACTACCCCCCCTAGGTTTGATTAAGCCTAATTATCCTTAGATAACCTTCATTAAGGGGGGAACCTAGGGGGGGGGAAGTATAGAGCGGGGGAACTAGTTGAACCCATAAAGTTATAGGTGGGCTCATCAAATCAGAGCTGGGGTTGGTGCACTTCTCACAGATCCCCGCATTTATCCATCCGAAGCCTTAGCAGCGGACCAGTTGCAGTACCCTCTAAACCCTACAATGAACGGCCCCCTAGTTACATGAGTATAAATATAAGTCCTATAATGAATTGATAATTCATGACCATATTTATCATAACTTGTAACCCAACTTATAACTAGGGGGCCCCACCCTGTAAGCCCCAGACCCTGAAGTAAGACACAAGTGAGCGCGCGCTCGTTCAGATGCGCACCTTCCCAACATGAACCCCCTCGGCTCAACATCGCAAATCTTACAACATCCTGCGTTCGGTTCCTTGTAACGCCTGTAATTCCTCAAGTGTCCAAGCACTAGTTCCCCACAGGCTGCAACACCTCGAATCCTAAATCCCAAGCTGGCATAACTGGTCTTGAGTTGGCTGGGAATGAAGGAATGGACGAGAAACTAGAAATTATGATAGTGGGCTGTATCGGGATTACCACAAGGACCCATTCCTTCAGTCCTAGCTAGCCAAAGGCCAGATACGCCCAGAGACGATGGCTCGTAGGGCCGTGGGGCTTGGGGCGCAAGCTTAGATCCCAAATCCTAAAGCCTTCCCTAGCTACCATGGAACCCGTGTAGCCATCTTGTAAGAAGATTGTGTTCTGTGCTTGGAGTCCCACTTTATTTTGGATGGGTAGACCCGGAGTCGCAAATCTTAAATCCGAATTACCAAAACTCCCCACCCTGCGCCCTAAGCCCTGAACTCCAAACCCTGAAGAGCAATGGCAAGTCCCAATTGAGATGAATCAGGTGCAAGTAGGCCTGCCCCCTCTCACTGCGCCTTTGGTTCGTTGGGGAGCCCAGAAGACAGGATGTAGGTTTCGGGTTTAGGGTCTAGGATTTGGGTTTAGGATCTAAGGTTTAGGGTTCAGACTTTAGGATTTGGGGTTTAGGGTTTGGGGTTATGTAGGAGTTGCGCAGGGGTCATCGCATCCAGGATGCGGGGCTGGAACATTTAAATGCAGC